TTTAGGTACAAATACTACGGGAGTCACGTGTCTAGTCTCCGAACTCATAACAAGGCCATAATTTGTTTATGCAACGGCAGGTGATTTTCTTTGGTAAAAGGAAATTGTTCTGGATTAAATACTTAACAAACATTAGGAAGCTGGTTGGAGAAAGTGAGATAACAGAAATATTGTTGGTCACGATTCGTGACTCATGAATGTAACATTTTTACAAAACATACAAACCATCTCAGCTGCAATCAGATGTCTGTGCAACAAATGTAAGAGACAAATTAACCAGGATGGGCTAAATAGGCGCTATAGTTTTCATACAGACATAATGATGCACAGAAATACACATTCTTCAGTTTAAAACAAAAACATTTTTGTCTTTTCAGATCATATTTTGGTCTTGATTTTGAAGCTGTACTTAGAACCTTATTTTCCTTTTAAAGTTTGTCTTTGCTTTCTCAAAACCTTAAAGTGTCACGTAATCGCAATACAGAAATAGTTAAGTAGTATGAAATATGAGTGACCGACTAGAAGATGTAATCAGAGGATGTGTGAGACAATTTGCCTCAACTGTTGATTTCAAAACCTTCGCACAATCTGGGAACGGACTCTCACTCAGTGTGCAAGATGTTACTACGGTCATTGAAAACCACAGATTCTCTGTTGAAGAACAGAAGAAGAAATTGTTCTGGCTTTGGGTTGAAAGAAACCGACCGAATGCAACTGCACAAAGGATAAGGAATCTTGTTACGGGATACCATGCAGCTGAACAACAAGGCGCTGCTGCTCCTATTGACAGACTTGAAGATGTTTTTCAAAGATGTTATTAAACGATTTACATCCAAGGAATTCAAGAAGTTTGCGAGATCAGGGCGGGGATTATCTCTTACTGAGTATGAAGTTGACACTATCGCAGAAAATAATAGATTCTCAGTGGAGGAACGCAACTTAAATTATGTGGAATGGAGACATTCTAAGTATCCAAACACTAATGTGCAGCTGTGATAGAAAGAATACGACAAGTAGTTGATGAATATCATCATGAAGAGAATCAGGCAGAGGAAGAACAAATCATCCATGATCACACATTCTACCGGCTGAAAATGAACAAATCTGTTCAACCAAGGATGGTTGTGGGATCTACATCGGAAATATCTGAAAGTCAGAGCGAGTCTACTTTGCCTGTCAGAATGGATGAATCTTCAGATTAGTCAAAAGAAAAAAAATGGAAAAAGAATTTCCATCGAAGAAATCGAATTTTCGAGATCTGCCAAAGTAATGGAAGATGCAAAACAGTAATTCAGGAGTTTTTGACTGTTGTGACGGATTACACAAAGCAGATGTTGGAATCCAGATTGAAATCTACAAAAACCACACAAAAATGGATGATTTTATATTTCCCAAGGTGACTGAGTTAAGGAAGACTGAATCCAACAAACAGAGTAGTTGCCAATCAGTGGATATAAAAAAGATTCATTATGATAACTCAGTCACCGTGTTGATGTTGCTAGGGACACAGGTTCTGGAAAAACAACATTTTCGATGAAATATGCATTGTCAGCGCTGGAAAAAATTTAAATTTTTCGAATGAAATTAAGATGGTCTATTTTGTGGATGTTTCTATGTTACTAAGAGGATTCGCTCAATTCAACCGCTTTTGATCTTCTATTCGTTCAACAACTTGGTTCAAAACTTCCAAAACACCTTCAAAAGTTGGACAAGAATGGTTTGAACAAAATTCAAAACATATTCTAGCTTGTAGTTGATGGGTTGGACCAGAAGTCTGAGCCTTTTGCAAATGATTATGGAAGAATTGGAGTGGACACTCTAGCGGAAACACATCATTCTTGCTAATATTTTATCCGGCACATGTATCCAGGAATGAAGATTGTCAACGACTCGTTGGAATGTTTATTGGAAGTTGCCTCCAGATCTCAAGGCCACTTGAATCTCACCTTAGGGGGATGGGATGATGAAACACTGAAACTTCTTGCTGAAAAGTTATTTAGTGAAGCAAAAAATATTTGATGATTTGAGACGTGAAGCACCAGAACTTGTTTCAAACCCAATGTTTTTTTCTACTTGGTTCAAGTTTTGAAAGATTCCAGGAAAGTGATGTTGGCACTTTAACAAATCTGATGGTTTCTGTTCTGAAACTTTTTTCAGGATCTCGTCACGGAGGAAATGTCAAACGTCTGTATCAAAACTCATGAAGTTGGCTTTCCATGGAATGATAGAAAATCGATTTGTTTTCACAGCAAGTTATATTGAGTCACTCAACCTGGATATGAATGACATGCGTGGACTTGTTGAGATGGATGCTGACACTCGATTTGTTGAGTATGTTGCAGACGACGATGATATAAAATAAGATTCCCTCATCAAAGTATAGGAGAGATTCTTGCTGCCCTGTATGCCTGCACTCTTGATTTGGATGAATACAAAGTTTATCGAGAATTATTATAAAAACCAGGAATGGAAGTCGTTATAAAACATACTTTTGGAATTATTCTCAACAAATCAACTTCAGAAAAAGCAGCAAAATATCTTCCTGATAACTTGCATATCAAGTCTGAATACCTGATGGGCTACTTGGATAAATTATTGGAAGCAAAAGTCATTTCAGATGAACGAGTCGTGACTTTATTACATGAATGTGGTCCTGATGTGATCAAGAAAGTTTGCTCACAAATAGAAGAGATGGACTATCAAACACTCCAATCTGGAGAACAGCATGCAGTGATGTCTGTTGCCGAGCATAGTCCTTCACTTCATACTTTGAAACTACAGTTATTGGAAATACATCCTGAAAATTATTCTTCTCTGCAACATGTTCTTGGTTCTGTGGAGAATGTTCATGTGGAATCATTCTATCTTATCAATTGTGATTCTGATGCTGAGAATCTTCGAATCCTGAGAGAAGCCGTGATGAAGGGAAACCTTAAGATTGGGTGGAGCCTACAGATAAGTGAAAGTCCAGCACTTGAACCTCCTGGTTATTCTTATCTAATTGGATTGGTTTGTCATGGTGGTGCGGAAAGTTTTGTAATGAGAGGCTGTGGCCTGAATGCAGAGAAAATAAGTAAGATGAATCAAGCAGTCATTGAATATGGTGTCGAGTTGTTTTCATTGGATATTGGTGATAATCCTAACATGGATGCAGAAGCATTTCAACAATTGCCTCAATTATTAGGGAATGCAAAGACTGAAGATCTCACACTGAGTGACTGTGGCCTGAATGCAGAGAAAATAAGTAAGATGAATCAAGCAGTCATTGAATATGGTGTCAAGTTGTTTTCATTGGATATTGGTGATAATCCTAACATGGATGCAGAAGCATTTCAACAACTGGCAAAGTTGCTGAAAAATACTGAGGGAAAGGATCTGTGGGCACAGTATTGCACTCCAACAATTGAGCAGTTATCAGCTCTTTGTTCAAATTTAGAAAATGAAGATGTCGTGTTGTCTATCTTAAGCCTGCGTAGACCAACTACAGAATCCCTCACTGATGATGAACTGATGATTGTTTCTAGATTGGTTCAGAGGGTGGGAGGGCTCATGTTCTTTTGTCAAGAGTTGCCCGAGTCAAAGAGGGAATTTCTGATTAAGGAAACTGTGAGACTTTGTCCAAGTGCAAAGATAAATAGTGAAATGGGTTTCTGTATAATAATCCAATCTTATCCCATTGGAATTTGAAATATATTTAAAAATTCTGAACAAGCACAGCAAGCATGAGTTTCCAAGCATGAAGCATCCAAAGATACTTCACAAATATCCAACCCATTCCTGATTAACCCAGAAACAAAGAATACTGTCCTTTGGGGTGCGAAATACAAAAAATATAGGTTGGAGTTTCCAATTAAACTTACCGTATTATTCAAACCACATAATACTGTTGAATACCAGGCAATTCTGCATTTCATTTGTGAGGCCTGCACTTTAAATCAAGGAATCGGACTAATATTATTACTGATATATTCATTCTGGAATAGTGCGATAATTAGACTTAAATGAAGCTTCTTATTCTACATATTTTGACTCTGACCTAATAGAACTGTCACTTGGACATGCATTCCTTGAATTAAAGTGAGAGTGAGTGCATGTTCTTAGATTGAATTGAGTCATATGTTCTTTATACTGTTTAATAATTTTCATGCTAATTTATAATCTCCAACTATTTGTATTAAATTTTGTATTTCAAACATGTAATAGATAATTACTTACTGTTACAAATGAAAATTTTGTATTAATTCTGAGAAGAGATATATTTTGACTCTGATTGTTAAAGAGCATACTTTCTGACATAATATATTATACCCTTAAATTGAACTTAGATTCTTGACTCATGGTGTGTTTCATGTGTATTTATTCAGTATATCCCGACTCTCACTCAATAGAACATCCACTTGGATAGTGAGGTCTTAAATTAAACGAGTCATATGTTATTAATTAGCGTTTTAATATATTTTCAGTGTGTGTTTATAATCTTCAACTATTTTCATTACATTTTTATTTCTAAACATGTATATTGCTTACTGTTGTATTCTTACTGTTTCCCAAGCATGATAATGTTTCAAACGTATATTAATTTTGAAAGAGAAAGCAGATAATATTATAAATATTTCAATTTTTTGATGATTGTTATTATTCGATATATTTGACAAGCATATCCATAAATAAACTGAGAATTATACATTCTTTAAATAGTGTGACAATAGTGTGTGTTTATAATCTCCCATATTTTTATTAAGTAGGTTTTGTAATTGTTATGCAACTGTTTTATGAGGTAAAATTAAATTTATCATCATTTTTCTGTAATACTTTTTGATCCCTAATGAAACCAATATGTCACAATTCTATTTCTAACCACTGTTCTTTGTTGCTGAAGCATATTCCCCATATTCGTGATGCCACATAACTCTTGTATAATTTAACATATTCTATACATTTTTATTGCTGTAAGATATGCCTAATCTGTGGTGTTCTTTGTGATTTTAGCCTTAGCTTAATGTAGGCGATAATATATTGAGCCATGTTTCTACAAGAGCATTTTGGGATTCATAACTCATATAGAGTTGTAACCTGGATATACTGGGAGTAGCTGTACCTGGATATGCTGAGCTTATTGAGAGTAGCTGAACAGTCCAGTGAATGAAAACAGTAAGTCTTGAATGGTTTTTATATTTAATTTTTTGATGAATTTCCAAATTTTCTTTGAATTGAAACTGGTTTCGTAAACAGGTAAAAACATAGTAAATGCTCGTAGAGGGAGAATGTTCAATAAGTGGTCACATTTGGGCACAAAACTCTGTATTTCAAATATTATTTAATTTGGAGGTGTTTTTCTGGAGGCAATATCGTTTTTCCTTTTTTCTGCTCAGCCATATATATTTAAGGGTCTATTCGATATTGTGGAAATGGCATAATACGAATGTTGTCCTATTTGATATTGGCTCAGCGTAAAATAGAAATAAAACTGCACTTAATAATAACTAGGGCTGTTCAAAATCGAATCTTTTTTTGATTCGAATCGAATATTTTTCTGGAATCGAACCGAATAATCGAATATTATTGCGCAATCCCATATTTGTCTCTATTGTACAATAAAAACTTCCTCTTCGATATTGTGATAACTTATTTGCAGTTATATCTAAATTATTGCTAATATTTTGCATAACTATGTTTCCAGAGTTATAAAAGGAGATCACAAGCCTCCTTGAACTAGTCAAAAAATTAGGGTTTCGAAAACTATCAAGTTTTAAGAGTTGGAAATTGCACAGACTCTTTTAATAGATTCAGTTTCAATAGGGCAATGAAAGACCGTAGATACCTATTATTATTAGTATTATTATGTAAGATTTTTTATGTAATTTTCAGTAAAATGATAAACAACTATTAATATAGATATAACTGTAGCCCAAAAAAATTAAAATTGAATTTTGGGAACTCACAAATTCAGATCTAGTTTGATGACATTAATTTGTTGATGACCATATTATTGCTGTAATTAATAAATGGATGATCAAAGTATTGCCATTTGAAGAAATTCTATTGAAAAAAGGGATTGGACCTCCAAAACGTGTTTCAGTCCTGTACCATGTTCCTATGATTACTGACTCAACAGCTACAAATCGATTCTAATTTATAGAACTGTCCGTTTTTGCTGACACTAAATTTGCCTTTTTCCTCCTTGTGTTCTCTCAAAAAACTTACTTTTGAATAAAAAATCCTTCTCAAATTTGAAATTCATCCTCACTCTCACTGTCAAACTGCTGTCCCTTTAGTGCGATCAGAGTTATGCGTGTATAAACCGCTCTTAGCTTGGCAACTTTTTATTTTGAGTTTTTGAATCGGCTTATTTGCGATGATATACAGTAATACGCTTTTGACCTCAAACAAGGCTGGGAGTAATTTCCTTCGTCTCCTCAGCATTATTTAAATGTCCATAACTAATGATCATGGCAAACTAAAAACACAATCTCTCAATTTTTTTAATCACTCATATGAAAATGAAAAGGAATTATTTAGTGCTTGTAACAGGAGCTAATTTTTTATCTCCCCCCCCCCCCTTCCCCCACATAAATAAAATTTCTTTCCTGCTCAGAAGATCTCGCCAGACATGCTGGAGGATGACAACTTCATTGACCTTATCACAAGACTTCAAGGTCGTAGGATGGACGATCAACGATGTGAAATGAGAGACGACCAATATGAGTTACCTGCGTTTTTAAGACCTAACCCTCCAGACCCTCCCTCAAATCATCACCCGGCAGAGAATGGGGCAATGGGGGGATGATAACCCATTGGAAATGATGGGGGTGAGTGTTCTTTTAATATTTTTTTTGAAAAACTGAGAAACAGTCATTTTCGTGGGCATGGTCACAACAACATTGCTATCGATGATAAATTAAGCACAGTCAGTTTTATGAATATACCTGGTCAGTGTTTTGTTACTATGCTGTTCTTTTTTTCATGTTGGTATAGTTGTTAATTGTTTTGAAATTTTCAGTGGTTAAAGGTTGTATTTTTCACTAAGCGGATATTTTATTTCTTCCAAAAACTCTCTGGGATTCGTTTTCATTATGCCATTTTGAGAGGTCATGTCGTCGAAATTAATATTTACGCACCTTGTTGGGGTTCTGCATCACATTTGTTACATCCTGGTGGTCAGTCGAAGTCGTGAAGACTGCAGTGCCGGTATTTTTTGCTAGAATGCTATGACTTGTATTTGTTCCTGAATTTTTCTGTGAGATTTGATATTTCATGCAAAATGCGCTATAGTTTTTATTTATGGGAACATGTTTTTATGACATCGTGATGACTGCCTTCCTCGTTTTATGACATCGTGACAGCGGGTAACATAGTATACTGTGACAGATTGCTACACTCGTACTACTTTGTTTATGTCTTCGTGTCCATATATCTGAGCATCGTTCTCTTATTCTCTTAGACGGTCAACATCAGCAAATTTCAACAATGATGAATAATATGTTAGCAAACTTGCAATCAAAACGCATGGATGAGCAAAGGGTGAGTCTCTCTGGACTTCCTGGGTTAAGGGTCAACGGCGAAGGAGTCATCAATCTGCAACAACCAGATGGCGCTGCAGCTCCACTACCAGGTATAGTGTTTTTCATACAATATATATTTATTATATATTTCCGCATAGCCTGTCCTATTTGGTGAGGTGGTGGGCGTGGGAGACTAACATGATATGCAATTGGATTTACCATGGGATCCCCTTATATCAAAAACACCAATATCTATTATGAAGTCAAATATTTCGGTGTTGGACGTTCCAACATGATAAAATGCAAGAAATTCAATGACCCTCCTGCTCTTGAAGTTCTTTTACAAACTTTTTAATCATTGCTTCATGTTGCACAATGCAATCCTTATGCTCATATACACACTACCCACAAGACTTCGGTTTTTATTCCTAATAGTTGCTAAATCAAAACATACGAAAAGGTTTCAGGAAATTGACACACATAAATGCGTCCACTCATACACAATAAACTTTCACAAGGAGTGTTTTGCAGGATAGGTCTCAGTTTAAGTCTCATGCTGTGACCAGTAGGCCAGTGGTTCCCAACTTATGACGCATGGAGATCTTACAGGTTGTTCCACTCCAGTTCTGGTGGGGTTGATTTTGAGTTATTTAAAGCCGTTCTCGAATACACTTCTGGCTCAGCCTGGCCTTGTACTCGACACTATGTTCTCACGCTATGCCCTAACTAACGATTTTCATCCAAAGTCTAAGAAATGACCACTTGTTGCATAACTTTTGATGAAGTTTGGTAATCGAGTAACACTTGGCATTTCAGAGGTTGCCTCTAACCTCAGTCAGTTATTTTTGAGGGAGTGAGAGTGACCTTTTTTAGAGAAATTTCCTTAAAAAAGCTTTTTAAAGTGGCTTTCATTCTTCCTTTTCAGTGGTTCTTCGACCAAGACTGGAAAACGGTGGAATACCATGAAATGAAAACAGACATCCACTCGATGACACATTTTTTAACGCTCTCATGAGATGCCAGGTGAGTGTTTTGTGAGGAGTTTTTTTCAATTTCACTCTGACAAAGACGTGACGTGAGAGCAGTCTACTATACTCATCAGTAGCACTACCATTTCTAATCAATTAATAAATTATTAGGTATTTCTGTAGTATGTGTATCAGGTTACGGTTAGGCCATAAATTTATTCCAATTTTCTTTATTTTAGTTCTATTACGAGTTCGGGGACTAGCCAAGTTATGGAATTAAGGATTAACCCTAACCTGGTACACATACTACGTTCCGGTGTCCGCCATCTTGGTTTACCAATTATTCGCATCGGTTTAGACAGCCGCCATCTTGTTTTTGTCCGCCCGCAGGTCGAGATGAATCCCTCGTGTTTTTTCATTTATGTCAAATTTTTAAAATGCAATTCTGTCATATAAGTGAGTTATTGATGAAACATATTTCCTATTGTGTGTGAACTGTTCGAGTGATAGATTACGTGTTTTCAGTTATGTGGACCCATAACAATATAACAGCCACATACAACTACATGTATTCCAAGTATTCGAGATTCGAAAAAATATTTGATTTGATTCTGAAATCATCAGATATTCGAAAATGCCCAGTTCTACTCATGAGTGAGTGCAAGTCACCTTGATTTGAGCAAAAAAAAAAAATAGGTACGATACTCTTGTAGTGTGTGAACCAAGATGGCGGACACTGGAACGTAGTATGTGTACCGGTTTAGGATTAGGCCATAATATCAGATACAGATCTAAAATAAGGAAAATTGGAATAAAAATATGGCCTAACCCTAACCTGGTACACTTACTACGTTCCGGTGTTGGCCATCTTGGTTCACATACTACGGGAGTACCCAAGAATCTATTCCATAAGGCTACAATTTTTGATCAGAACCTGATCAAAATGAATATTTAGACCTAATTTATTTGTTTGTTCCAGAGCACGAGGTTAAATGACCAGCGCTCGTCACCTCCCATATTCGACGCTCCGGTGCTGCTAACGCCCACTATCCCAGACGAAGATTGATTGTTCGAATGCAATCGTCAAGAATCGAGGACCAGCGCTGCCGTTTTGGTCCCAAATGGGAATCCCCTCCTAATGTGGACCCCGATAATGACGACATATCACAGTAAATGTGGGACACATTTCGATGCCCACTGTGGCACTAAATGGTTGTTGTAAACTTGTTCTGTGGCATTTTTGTGATGCCTTGCAATGTTTTTTACTCAGTGGCATCAGATATGTGCCATGCCACACCTCATACCTTGCTGTGTTTTATTACATGAGAGCCATGGCACCTACCAAACGGCATCGAATAGCCACTATTGTTTTGCTCATTGTGTTTTGAAAAACAATGACGTTTTATAAAATTTGTGGCATCAAAAGTGTACTAATGCCATGTAACATGGTTCCTGTGTTTCAGGCAGTGGCATCAAAACAAACCATGCCACCTACTAGCGAGGCATGGAGAGAATTATTTTCATTTTCACACTGAGGCATTCAATAATGCCTTGAAATCAATTTGATGCCCCATTTAAATGCCATGCTGCCGTAGTAAATATCATCCAACTATGGGTTTAGGGATTGACCTCCCATTTTCTTTGTCATGGTTAAGATGCCACTAACTTCCTGTGCCACCATTGAAGATGTTTTTGCTGCCATGTAGTAATTTTATTTCTAATTATGTCACGCTTAAGCTAACATTGTGCAGTTGTAGAAATGAAATATTAATTATGCATCATAAATACAGTGCTTGAAATAAGCTGTTAATTGTGAAGTAACCAACTACGGTCAGGTCTGTGAAGTAGGAAGAAATTTACGCACTGACTTGAAAAATAATTCGTATGTATGTATAGTTATTAGCTTTGAAATTTGAAAGCGCCCGCATAATTAATTAAAAATTAACAAGGCCTTAACTGGCCTAAGACACAGTTGTCTGACATCTATTCTTCACTAACGGAACAACGGTTAAAGACTACCAAGTTGAAATGGGACAATACACATAGAAATATGGAAGTAAAAACTCAAGCGCAGTGGTTCCCAAGTGGGAGCCCCGTAACCCCCCAAAGGGGCCACAAAGCAATTGTAGGGGGGCCACAACGTTAGGCTCAAATCTGATCTTCTTTTAATATCAATAAAACTAAAATCGCAAAAAATTTTGATACATTTAATATCATGAAAAAAAAAACTTGCCAAAGTCCGAAAATTTAGGATATGCTCCCATACACAAACTCTGAAAGAAAAATAATTTTGGACTACAAAAACTTCTGGCATATTTAGGCCTCAAAGCGCTCCGAATATCGAATGATTCGAATATCTAATTCCAGACCCATAAAGTTGAGGGTTTCAAAATATCGATGAAATCGTGTCAAACTCTCACCCTACAGGCTGGCCTTCATTACTAACATCGGTGAAAAAATTTGATAATCGAAACTTACAACTCTTCTACACATTAGCTGCTTTAATAATTTTTTATTTCAACTTTGTGTCTGTTTATTAAGTTTAGTTAATTTCAGTACGATTTCTTTGAATAATCATTGAGGTGTGACTGGTCAGAATAATCTAATGTTAATGTAATGGTGTCAGTGCTGCTATTTTTAAGCTTCAGTACAATTTCTTTCAGTATAACCATTGAGGCGTGTCTGGTCAGAATTATCTAATGCTAGTATAAAGGTGTCAGTGCTGCTATTTTCAAACTCCTTTATTTTTGATGTTGAATCACACTGAAGTTAACTTGACCTCTTTTTCAACTGCTACAAAGTTTTTTAATGTGAATATTGTTTCAAATTTCATTTTCTATGATCGTAATTTTCAAAAATCCGAATCTGGAAAAATGTAGTAATTCACCTTTCTCATACCTGATTTAAGACCAGGGCTTCGGAGCCGGTGAAATTTATAATCGACTGCCGACTTTGTTGGAAAAAATTTTTCATTCCGGCTGATAGTAGGGAAAATTAAATCTTGATTATGAAACTCTGGCATCTGCAAGTTTCCTTAATTGTTTATTTAAAACGGTGAGGTAAAGCATACCCTCTAAAAATGGCTCGGAACGATAATTTTTTTCGTGTGTGTGTGTGCACTCTTATCGTGAAATCGTTAGTTTGAGTACCAACTTCTCATTCACCGCTATGTTTCTTTATCATAGATGTGAGATAGCTGTGGCAATACAGTGGTTGCCTTTAAGTTCACTACAAATGAGTCTACGTTGCTTCTGAGTGAGTGTAAACACCTTGCTTTGAGCAAATTATTTCTCAGCCAAGTCGCTTCTGTACCGGGTCAAGGTTGATGTTTAATTAATTCAACTTTTTTCATTTTCTTCTTGTTTTATTAACACTGTACATTCATTTTGAACTAATTTTTTCCTGTTTTTTTTTCTTTTTCTTATTTTTATTCTTTTTCGAGTGAATTCTGTTAGGAAAAAAGGGTGGCGTTCTCTTCAATGCATAATTTGCAATTCCGATGTTCAGAAACATTTTTCCACAAATTATTGGGCGTTCCAGAAGTATATTTACCAATATGGAGGTATCTAATTTTGTTCGCCTATTTTACATCAAGTTGTGTAAAGGGAATGAAACCTATGGGCAGGGGGTATATTCACTTGACTAATACAAACAGTTTCCGGGACTCTTAATAGAACTAAAATAAGGAAAATTGGAATAAAATTATGGCCTAACTCTGACCTGGTACACATACTATATAATAAAAATTATGAATGAATAGCCCTGGTTTTTGTAGCAAGATAACTCTTTATAACTAAATTTTGTTTTAATCATGGTTTTTCTGCAAAAGAATAGGTTGCATAGAGCCCCATATTATGATCAGCACTAGTGATTGTAGCAAGATTGTCCCCTTTTTGATAAAATTATGTTTTAATAATTATTACTTTTGAGTTCTGACATTAGAGTAGATGTTGCGACTCCGAGGAGGTTCGAGTTTGATGGAAAGGATGCAAAACGGTTCTTTCAATGCTAAAGGTTGCTGACCCGTGCACTAGGCCATTATGCTGATAGTATTTATAGATTAGTATTAAATCATGATTTCTGGTATTTTTCAGAATTTTTTCTTTTTTTCGCTAAATTTATTATTCCTAATCATGTTTGTAAATACTATGTTTCTAATTAAAAATGTTATCAACTATTTTGTTAAAAATCGCTTTCCCTGGTTGCGGTAATCACACATAAGAGACCACCACTCAGCCCCAATAGTAGTTACCCTGGCGCAGCAGTTCCTAACAAGGGGCCGTCGCCGTTAAATGCAGAACAGATTTTACTTGTTCCTTGACAAGAAAACTTCCTAGTTTCGTTGCTTGATAAGGTTGTTTCACAGGGTCTAATCACTTTATTGAGAATGAATTGTTTGAAACTAAAGGGATTTGGAATCTACCAATCATAATAACACTCTAAATACCACTGGGCCATGAGGCTTAGAAACCTTTGGAAGGGGGGCCACAAGCCACTTGTGCAAAACTTTGACTTTATCCATTTTTAGGGCGTTATTGCTTTGAACGAGAATCCAGTAAAGCAAAACCCCACTTATTCTCCCGGTTCGATATTGCCTGCCCAGTTTCTTATACACTTGTCAGGGTGGCTAACATGTGGTTTGAACCTGGGATCTCTAACTTGTGTCCAGCCAATACTGCCAGTTGCCACATCTTTTGCTGTGATTATCAAATTTTTTATGTGTTCGCAACTTTTATTGTTTTCCTTACTGAAGGTTTGGCAAGTTTCTGTATGTGCCAGCGCAAATTTACAACAATTAAAGCAAAATGCGGTAGATATACAGGTTGATTGATTTGTTTTTTGAAGGGGAAGTTCTGGAACAAGTCGGGAATTTAGATTTCTAATTGTTAACTTGACAAAGCTTTCTAAATTGACAGTTACAGGAGGTTTGCATATGCCGAGGTATTTGGATCAAAAATTTGATTTTTCTGGAGCCCAGAGCCGGAGTCGAAAAATTTCTTTCTGGAAGTCTGAGTTGAATTGATCTATACAGACGCCTAAGATGATACTTAGATCTTCTGACATTGGTTCCCAAAGTTGATTGACCAGGGCCAAAATTAAAAGGGGATGGATACTTATTTCAACGAGCCATATTAAATCGTTCCGGACCTCGGTTTGAGAGCGACTGTTCTAATCCTTTGGAAAAATTATCTCAATCTCATGACAAACTAGCAGACTTTTGCTTGGACATTGTAACCAGGTGACAGATTCGTAGACTGTACCAGTAGTCTGTCGCACAATCCCGGTCATGATTCTGAAATATATAAATGAGCAGAAAGTTGTGGCTTGTTATATAATCGAGCCATCTCTGTTTACCCTACGTGATTTCGCACCTCGTGTGGGATGCTGCTTCTCTCTGCCACTTACTGGCTAACAAATTTAATCTCAACAACTTCCCTCTCTTGCACGATAAATACAAAAACGCTATCATGCCATCCCATTGACAACTCTTTTGAAACTCAAGTTTAATTTAAAATACAAGTATTAAATCAGTAAGTGCGGTGAACGTTTTACAATTGACAATCAGAAAATAAAAAAGATGTATCCACAGGTCATCTGTTAGAATATGGGGCTTATAGATTTTTCACTGTGTAGACTTTTTCGACCCTAAAGTCCCTTAAGACGGTTTGTATTATGATTTTCGAACACCTATGGGGTCGTTATTATGAATACATAAAAATATGAATTGTAGACTTGAGGAGTTAAAAAATGAGACTACGGCTCCAGTGAAAACTCAGGTACTGAAGTATGTGAACCAAGGTGGCGGACATCAGAACGTACCAGTTTAGGCCATAATTTTATTCCAATTTTCTATATTCGTTCGGGGACTAGCCAAATGACTCCCATAGTATTTGTGCCTGAGATTATGGCCTAACCCTAACTTGGTACACATACTACGTTCTGGTGTCCGTCATCTTGGTTCACATACTTCGGCAGTACCAACTCTCGTGCCTGGTTATAATGCTATCGCCCTATTTTTACAAGCGGCCACCGGCATCTAATGATATGGTTGGAACAACTTCTTATTTGGAAAAATGGTGAACGTAAGAAATTCTCTCATGTGCAAATCAATACCTGGGTGAAGTGGAACAAGATTCAAACTAGAAATGTGCAATCAGCGCTTAAACCAAAAAATTTGAAATATTTGTACGTATGAAAACATTTTCTCACAGCTTTTTGAACTGATCGTAATGACATGAACTGCCCATGTCTTGCCTCAACCAGTGGGTACTCCCGTAGTATGAGTACCAGGTTAGGGTTAGGCTATAATTTTATTTTGATTTTCCTTATTTTAGTTCTATTACGAGTTCGGGGACTGTCTGTGTTAGCCAAGTGAATTTACCCCATGCCCATAGGTTTCAGTCCTTTTGCACAACTTGATGTAAAGTTAGGTTAGGAACAAAATTAGTTACCCCCATATTAGTACACACACTTCTGGAGTGCCAATCAGTGTATATGAGCGATGAATTCAAACTATAATATGGCCTTGCTTTGAGCAAATTATTTAAAATAAATATATATGTATAAAAGTTAAAAGGATGAGACTATTGTGTCATGTGGGTGGTCCTGGCAGATCAGAAGAATGCTGGCTGTGATCTGTAAAAAGGAAAAGAAACTCGTTGAATATTTGTCATTCATTGCAAGGGTTGCATGCTGTGGGTTAAAAGTCTATAGTCTATAAAGACTGACTAACATATCCCATACCCAACAAGGACTGATAACACTTTGTTTCAACCGTTTTAGGTTCAAGATACCACCAATTGTTATGTCATTATCACAGTTTGAGTATATGTATAGTCATAACAGTGTAATTATATCTGTATCTTGATTATACGAACCAGTATCAACAGCAGCCTCTTGCGGGCTCTCCCCTCTCAAAATAATTTAGAACTTACCGTGATCATTACAATCATGTTGTTTCGATAGTTTCTTCTGCGCTCGCTCTTTCTTCGTTTTCTTCTCGTAAGCATTGTCATCACTATCGCTAGAATTATCATCTGACGACGAGTCTTCCCCAAACATCCGAGGTTTTTCATAAATACAACAACCTGTATGTAATATTTGAAAGTCTCAGTATTCTTGTGTTAGTTATTATTAAAAACTGATCCTACACAGAACAAATACAAGTGGCATAAATATACAAAACATGGGGAATGTAATATCTTCAACTCAGCATGATAAACATCTTTATCAGATTATTTTAACGTTTATTGAAACTTCAATGGCTGTGGTGTTTCTAATCTGGTCACTCTTGCTACAGTTACCACTTGTTTGCTCCGAGATGAATCTAGATTACTTCTAGCTGAGTGTGCATAATGGCCATACATAATTTTATGTGAGTTCCCTTGGCTTTTATTTTAGTGTTTCCCTGTCATTTTGCTTAGATATTAATCTACTTCTGAGCAGAGACCTACTATAATCGAGGTGTAGTCAAAAAATAATTTTCTCACATTTGGAAGATTTCTTTCCCATGTGTTCATTGTCAATCGTTTCCTCTGTCCATCGAACAGTTTGCTCAGACTGAGGTTTGCGAAGTTTCAAAACGATGCTCGGGCTCTATGGCTCCTGGATAAAAAAAAATTGAACTGTCGTGTCGTTGGTTCAATAAAACAAACTCTGTTTGTTTCTGAAACGAGGGCACAACTGCAGATTGTGTCTTGCTTGTCTCAAAAATAATTTAAACCAATCGTGTCGGCCACCACATGATCTAAATTGTGTTTCTTTGCTGAAAACTCTCGAATGCAAAAGTAAAATTGTTTTACTTCGGTAAATCGGATCACTTTCTCAGAGGTATCAAATGGTGACGATTCAAATTGTGCTTCCTTTTGGTTTATTGTAGCGATATGGAGGCCCAGATTGTCTCATGAATGAGGGGTTGCACTCACTGTCATAATTGTTGTCTTTTAATGTGGGGGCTATTCTTGAAATCAAAGAACTGTGCCGTACTGTACACCATAATTATAAAAAATCTACCCCTTCACCTGTGAGGTTGTTGTGGTCAATGTTTCTTCGCTTTGTGTTGTCCTCACTACCGTTGCCATTATTGCTGTTTATGTCAGGAAATATTCCACTTTTTTCGAGGCAAATTTTTGGAAGCAGTTGGACATATGACCCCAAAACGAACCTTTTTGAATGAGGTACAAATGACTTAATATAAGCAAAATTATATACCCTTAAAGCTGTAAAGTAAAACCAGTTCACTATTCAGCCATTGTTTGTCCAATTCTAGTTGGCCTGGCTTAACAATTTTTGCATTTGTAATTCTAACCCCCACCTGACTATGTCACCAAAAAATTACGTCACTACGATGTCACAGTGGCCTGATAAAGACGGATGATCGTCCAAAACCCCACAGGGGGGGTGACGCCGGGGCCACGGCCCATTTAATTGGGCCATGGCCCATCAAGCTATGGGCCGCGGCCCCATCAGGAAAAATACAATCATCTTACCAAAATTTTACAAAATTGTCAATAGTCGAATCAAAAAAAAAATCACGGTATGCCACAAATTTTTTTTCTTACGATAAGCATTCATATCAAAATAAAGCAAAATACCAAGCTACAGAAAAGGATACTCTTGTAGTATGTGTACCAGGTTAGGTTAGGACAAAATTCTGTTCAGATTTTTCACATTATAATTCTATTATGAGTTCGGGGACTGTCTGTGTTAGCCAAGTGAATAGGATTTACATATTTATCCTGGGGGAGAGGAAAGCCAATAAGACGGCTTATCCATATGGCGAACCACGGCCTCTCGTCCGGTTACCATTCCAAGTCGGGTATGGGATTAGTTAGTTATACTGTATTGTTTGTTTTCAGAAGCATGGACTTGGTGGTGAAGGAAGCCGTAACAACTTGCACAACTTGATGGGCCGTGGCCCATAGCCTGATGGGCCAAGGCCCAATTCGATGGGTCGTAGAGGAGTCACCACTTCCACTCCCAAAACGCGCAGACGATCACCCGGAATCGAGCAAGTTATTTCTCTCGTTTTCTCGTGTAACGATCTCGATATGAGAGAGACCGCTGGTGTTAGTGAGTTCGTTATCATCGACGCAGATCGCATTTTGGACTATCGTAAGTATACTTTGGCAAGCTCTATTAATCAATCAACTTTATTTTGGTCAATCTGACATAAAGCAAAACAACACCAAACAGACAAACAAAATGCAGAGGACATGGAGAACGAGCATAACTTAAGAAGAAAGTTAAAAACATTCAAGTAGCCTAGCCACCTGTTCACCAAAAACAGTCAAAGAACACAATAAAATAAACATACGCGACGGTCTTACTGCTTACTGAATACAGCGAAAAACAGAGGGAAACTGCGCAAAGCAGAAAAAAATCTGCAATGAGTTGGGGCACCTATTTATTTTTTATTTTTTGAGTTGGGGACCACGGCAGCAAATTAAAAACACAAACCAAGGCATGTAGGCTGTAATGGCGGGCATGCCCCTGCTGGTGACAAATTGTCGCGGACCATGGTGTGTCCGCGTTATATTGTGTCTATAGACTGTGATGTTGACCCTTAGTTAATGCAGTTTTGTCGGATTTGGACTCCGACCACTCACTACATGTGAGGCAAAAACTGTCTTTCGGTCTCTCTTTCTCCGGCTGCCGCGCTGGCGGTCGGGTGCGTTTTCAGTTCACTAGTTATGTTTTGTTTAATCTGTTTGAGTTATATATTCTGTTTGACTGTTGTATATGCTTTGGAGTTGCCGTAGAATAAACAATCAATCCGGAACCTTCGAGTCTTCTGATTCATCTACAACCACGGTAGCAACATATCCGTACCGTGACAACATATTATTATATGTTCCCGACATAGTACAAATATTCTCAAACTTGGTTCGAAATGACTTCACAATATGTTTTTTTTAAATGTCTCATCTAAAAGTGGGGCACCTAATCGAAAAGTACAGAATTTTGGGTTTAAAATGACGATATTTATTAATTTTGATGTGAAATTCCTGTTCGGCTATGTTTGACAATATATTATTATATGTTCCCAACATACAAATTTCATAAAACTTGGATTAGGATGACTTCATTATAAGTTTTTTTTTTATATCACCTTCAAAAATCTGCCCGGCCATCGGAAATTACAGATAAGTTTTGTGTAAATTCGAGTAATTCCGAGCGTTTAATGTCATTGTTCCGAATTGATCAAAATGTCGCCGTAAATCGGGCATGTGCTTTGCGACTAGATTTCCTTTTTCTGTCGCGGCATTTAAGTGCCATGTTAAATCGTTTTTGGCAACGCTATTTTACCGTTCCGAAAACGAGAGAGATGTCTGCTAGGGTAACTTTGGTTATTCGCCAATGGCGAGGGAGCTAACTTCTGGAATGAGTTCTCACTATTACGTCATCTAAGGCCGTTTCCGAACCTGGGTCGATTTTCGTTGAAGCGGTTTGTAAAAATTTTTATGTAGAAAACTAAGTCCACTTTATGCAAGCCGTAAACGTTAAAAATCTTAAAAATAAATAGAATCAAATTTTCCACAAAAATGTTCGCTATATAATGTTATATAATGGCTCTGATATTTTAGTGGGGTAATGTATTTATTTTGACGTAAAAAGTCGCAACCGCGAGTTATGTTGGACACAATTAAATTAATAATAAGGACATTTTAGATTCTCGTAGTTGTCATGGATTGAATATTTTACATGACAGAAAAAGCATTATGGACCTTTCCCCGACCTTTGAACCCCGGAAAATTCTTCCTATACTATTACCATTGCAAAATTTTTGGGGCTATTTTAGGAGTGCTTTTGCGAGTTAGCGCCTGTAAAATGGGTATGTGTTTCAAACCATCATTATGATTCATCGCATACAACAATCTGTTTTTTTAAAAGTACCGGTAAAGAATTCCAGGATAGTCTATCACAGCTATTTCTACACTATTTTTTCATTACTGCAATTAAATTAAAACTCCTAGGAAGACTCCTAAACTCCTAGAGTAATCACTGAATTATCTGATTTTTGTTGAAGTTTCCGAAACACAACCGAAAACTAACGAATAGAGTTCAAAAACGCGAAAACGAGGTAATGTTTACAGCCACGCTTGAAAATCTGTCTGAGTGAGAAAAGTGTCTGAGCGGATGCGAAAAGGGGGCATTGTTACGTCACTTTTTACATCTTGCTGATTGGCCAATGTCACGAGGTAAACAAGGAAGTCGATGCTCGGGGAAAGGTCCATACACTGAAAAGGCGGCTCTTTTCATGAGCGCGTAAACGTGGCGACTTACAGACGGCCCTGGGAATTTCCGATTCGGAAACCCCCTTTTGAAAATCCCGGCTAAAATATTTTGTATCAGTTGTGCATTTGAGCAAATTTATATGTGTTCTATGGAATTCGCTTTTTGTGTGCGATGAAGTCATCAAAAATTGCGTCCGGTTGTGGTTCCGCTTTTGTGCTAGTCTACAGTGACAGATTGCATACCGGTACCTGTACTACAGTATTCTGTTTCGGCTTTTATGTTCATATACTGAATATATATGAGCCTCGCTCTCTTGTTGAATGGCTAAGAGGCAGCCGAGATGCGTGGTTAGGGTAACATCGTTTCACTTGGCAGCACGCTCTGGTGTTAGAGTACCGGTACCGCAGACTTTCTGACTAGAATTTTTTGTCGACTACTGAATTGTTCGCTTATGGAGTCTTTCAAGAATGAGGTACCGTATCACTGTAACTCTGAATCATGGAAAAAGTAAGCTCTTTTTGAAATCTGTAATGCTCGTTATTGGAAAATTATTTGCAAACAAGGATATTACAGGAGTTTGTAGGTGGGAGTATTGGATAATTTCATGTAGGACAGTAGGAATTACTTTCATCGGGAAGAGTAAATTGGATCCTTCATTTTCATGGTATTGATATCTCGGGTCTCGTGAAGCAAAGGCCATAACTGCTGTGATGTGAAAATGAACGCTGTAAGTGCTCAAATAACGCCAGACAAAAATGTAACCCAGATTTTCATTTTGTTCTAAAAATAAAAGCCTGTCTTGTGCGAACACACTACGCTGAACGCATGGGACAAATGCGAAGCGGACAACTCGACTCACTTTCGAAGGTTACGTTTTAAGACAATACCGGTGTAATTTCGATCTTTTTACATTAAAATTTCACATCACATTTTTGTAGGGTGGTATTTGAGAATTTAGGGTGTTCATTTCACATCACATTTTTGTTAGGCATTTTTTAAGCAGTTACGGCGTTTACTTCACTAGACCCGATATCTCTTTATCATGCCTGTTTGAATATACTTGTTGTTTATAGCAATATTTTGAAAGTCCAAAATAGTGTCAAATAAACTGATAGTTGAGGTATTAGGATATACAGACTTTTCACCCCACAAGGTGACGTAAGATGACGGTTTGAGTTTTCTTTTATTCACATTTGGAATTGTTTATTAAAGTTTATAGGGCATTTTAGAGTTGTCATTCAGGTACCAGGACTGACAGGTTACCGGTATATGCAGTACAGCCCACTCCGGATTTATGGCTGTATTTTGTAACATAAAAAATACCCTCGCGTCTCTGAAATCAGGGCAGTCGAGTCGATAGGAAGCGCGATGCGTGAAAACGTCAGATGTCTGGGACTACATCACAGAAAGTCAAGCACGGCTCTTGAATTTTGCTAATTTTTCACAGATGTATACTGCCCTATATGATTACACATACATGTATTTCTGAACCATTTTTATTCAGTTCAATGTCGGAAGTGCCTATTAAAATAATGGCGCGTAAACACAAGAGTCTATAAATAAAATGATTACTTTTGAATAAGATCAAAGGATTGCAAAATTATGCGTTTCGATCAATACAAGTCGAACTGATATTTTTGTGAATCCATGACATCCTATAAATTGTTGTATAACGATGCACGATATCAAAGTTTTTTTTCCACCATTTAAATTAATTTTGATAGTTTTCATTAGGGCTCGATCGATATATCGGCCTTGTTTTTTGCAAATTTCGAACTATTGGTATCGGCCAATCATGTGACTGCCAAAGTAAGCAGTTTTATCGTTTGTCTAAGATGTCTCCTAATGCCCTATGGCATGTACCGTAAGTATCTTCTTCCCTGGGATAAACATGTAAATCCTGTATGCTCCAGTGGTAATATTTATTATTACATAGGAGTCTATGCATCTGAAACAAATTATTTTGTTTGCCAATGGGACTGAAACCTATGGGCGGGAGGTATATTCATTTGGCTAACACAGACAGTTCATGAACTCATAATAGAACTATGATAAGGAAAATCGGAATAAAATT